CATTCCACAAAATGTTTAATATCTAAAAAAAAAAAAAAAACTAATTGAGATTCTTTTAGCAATCTTGACACTATTTGTCGTAACAATCAATGAAAAACCCAATGAGTTATTCAGCTAAAAAGAGAACACAAGGTGGTTAAATGGTGAAAGAAAACAATTATTCAGGTCCCCAAGAAGCATTCCTTAGAAAGGTGAATAATTTGAAAACTGAGGGAAGCATAGAAAGGAACACATTGAGGTCACAAAAGCAAGAGAGATCATCATTTCAACTTAGAGCTAAATATATTCGTATTGTTCAAAGTGGAGTTCAATACTTTCATAAATTCCCCAGAAAATTCCAATCAGATATCTTTAATCATTTCTAAGATACAACGTTTCAAAGCTTAATCTAACAATTGGATAATTTTGCTGTTACACCCGATATATATATATATATATATATATATATATATATATTTGTGTGTGTGTCTGTGTCTCTGAGTGAGTATATATATATATATATATATATATATATATATATATATATATATATATGCGTAAATGTACTTCATCAGTGGTGCCCACGAGAGGTAGCCATGTTATTACATAAAATTTAATCAAACCAGAAATGAAAAAAATTGCGCTAAATCCCCCAGTATCTATCTATCTATCTATTACAGATTGTTCCTATCTATCTATCTATCTATCTATCTAAGCCTGTTATAATATCTATCTATTATCTCTTTCCCTCTCTCTCTCTCTCTCTCTCTCTCTCTCTCTCTATATATATATATATATATATATATCACTACCTGTATTTCAGTATATGTATATACGTATGAATATATATATATATATATATATATATATATATATATAATCCAATTAAATGAGAAATATCTTAATGCTTTTCAATAACGTTTAGACATTTGAGTGAATATATGTTGGCCTCTGAAAACTAAAAAAAAAAATCTTTCCAGAACTTATTTTTAAATTGCCTAGAATATATTGGCCAAAAATTGATTTTCTTTCTTTTAGAAACTATTCTCTCACATTTCTCGCCGACAAAGTCTAATGTTGCTAAGTTTCCCGTCTATTCCTAAATTATATTTTTAAAACATTTCATATTCATATCTACTTCTGTTTCGGTGCAAATCTTTATTATAGCTGAATGTAAAAGAACTTGATAAAAAAACACTGTTTCGATTCATTTCCTCTTTCCATCGTTTTTATAGAAATCAAATGCAATAATTTGGTTTCTTCTAAAGGTCACACATGACGTGTAACATGACGACTATAAATCTCCTGTAGTGATCTCCTGGAAAGACCTTCGAACAATTCACTCAATTTTTTTCCCCAGTATATCATTCCATGCTGATTGTAGATTGTGACTTTTATAACAGCTTTTTATGAATAATTGATTAATTTACGGTTTATCAACACTTTACGGGTTATTTAAAGTCAAAATAGATTTCTCATCGTAATATTTAACAGTGCATATTGCATTAAAAATTTAATCAGAATAACAATGATTTTGTCCAGGTACAATACCCGTTATTTAACCCATAGTAGATGGAGGAGATACATTCATGCTTTCTCAAGGAAATTTGCAAAAAAACACACATTCTTTTATAACAGAAAATAAGTTATATATATATATATATATATATATATGTATTATATATATATATATATATATATATATATATATATATATATGTATATATATATATATATATATATATATATATATATAATTCACAAGACGGTGTGTGTGTATGTAGGTGTCTGTGTGTGTGTTTGTGTGATCGGATGTTGTTTATGCATTTCCACAGTTTTCATCCGATTTTGATGAAAATTATTTGTTTAATAGATAATTCTTCAGTGCCGGTTTTCAGTCCAAATTGTTGGCGACAATGGCTCTCCACTACTTCCTATCCATTATAACTCTCAGCAACGTTTTACTATTTACGATCTGCTCTTGGATATATATCTTTCATTAAACTTTAATAAAAAATAAATTGTTTAAATTATTACAAACAACTTATTTATTATCATACAGTTCCATTTTCAGAACGTCGCCCCATTCAAATTGTTAACCCCTCCCCCTTTGCGGATGTGCCTCAGTTGCACCCAAATGTTGTTACTCATATTGCTTTCGGGTGGGCTGACATTGAACTTCTAAACTGAATGGCAAAAATTTTCAGTAATCAAACTTCTCAAAACTACTGTTAATATATATATATATATATATATATATATATTATAAATTAATTGATTTAAAATATGGTTATTTTCTACACAGTTCCAACCATGTTTCAAAAATAAAAAACCCCTTTAATTTTATAAATGAGCACTATTTTGTAAAAATAAAATATCTATAAGAACACCGGATTTTATATATACTGTTCTTTCTTTTTTTATATATATATATATATATATATATATATATATATATATATATATATATATATATATATATATATCTGAGATGTAGTATTGTAATTATTTACATACTTCGGACTGTTGTCCTCATCGTTATTGTCATATTCACGACCTTTTGGTCGTTCTACGCTCCGGCCTTCTTCAGCTGCTGGGAATTTCGAAGTGAACCCTTTATTTCTTCCATCGCGGTAGACTGTTCTAGTTCCACGTGCGAATCTTCTTCCGGCGGATTCCTCAGTTACCTCCGAGTTCGAACAATGTAAATAATGTAAAGTATATATAAGTGCACATTGAAGTTATCACTCAGAGGCCTCTAGTGTTGACTTCAACTTTCATTTTTATATTTACACACTTTTATGTCTTATATTGGGCACATTATCCCATAAATATAGCACACCTTAAAACTATATTTCTTCATATATATATATATATATATATATATATATATATATATATATGTCTACTTTTATATATACATACGATTTATCCCTGATATTCACTACTTTTTACCCATAAACAGACCCTACCTTAAAACTATATTTCTTCGTATATATATATATATATATATATATATATATATATATATATATATATATATATATTCGTATAAAATATATATATATTTTAAAAATGTGATTCCATCGCTACATAAGAGTTCTCATGTTTCAAAATAAGACCCGAAAACTTCAATATAATTATTTAAATTAAATTGAATTAAAGTACCAAGCTCTGTTCCATCTTCAAGCGAATTTTTTTTTGGAATAACTAAATCCTGAAATGTACGCGTTTTATAAGCATATTCATTATTAAAATTAAAATTACTATGATAAAGGCTAGAGCAATTATTTAAAAAAAAAGGGGGCGTAAGCGTTAATAGTCTGTATCAATATCTCAGTTACATTCACAGATGTCAAGTCAGGGTAAGGTTGGGGTGTCTAAATTTAAAGCGGAAGATGACATCGTCTAGTCTGGTTAAGTGTCTATGGAGATTTATGTATTTTTTATTTTATTTTTTTCTTGACAGGGTTTTGTGTATATAAAAAACTGTCATAATTTGCTAACATTTGTTTTTTTGACGACTTCATATAGGGTTTTCTTTTTTTTATTATTGGCTAGGGCATTTAAACTTTTTATTTAGGCTATGGAGTTTAAAATTTTTTATTTATTATTTTATTGTTTGTTTGTTTTTATGCTAATTATTCAATGCGAAAATTTGATGTCGGCAAAAAACCGTTAACTCATGTCTATTGTTTAATAAATTTTTATTATTTAGAAACTTGATAATGTGTAGTTTTTCATGTAGGCATAAAGAGCATGGGTCATCCCAAGTTTTACAAGTTCTAGTTTTGTTTATAATTTTACATTTTACTTTTGGTGTTTAATTCATTTCCTTCAAATGCCAAAAATATTTAGATAGAGATGTCTGATTTCTTTCATTTATATTGTTCAAAGAGCACTTATGCTGCCTCCATCTGGTTTTAAATTCATTCTTCGTAGACCCAATGTATATCATATTAGTATTAGGACTCTCAATGGATGAGATAGTACATTGGTATACCACAGATTTTGCGCGGCATTTATTTTCCAATGGGCAGTCTTCTGGGTTTCTACAATCACATAATTTTTCACTATTTTTGTCTAATTTAAGTGTAGGGTTTTTAATACTATTCTGGCATGGGGGTTTATTCAGGATTTTATTGTGTTTTTTATTATACTTTCTAGATTTTCAGTGCAACTGTAACTTAATTTTAGGGTGTTTTTATTAAATAAACTCGAATAAAATACAACTGAACCACATATTAAAAAGAATAAAAATAATGGAATCATTAATAATAAAAAAGGAAAAGCTAACACTGAATTGCATCAATTATGAAATGTGCTGCTATGTTTCATGAATCTAGATACATGCATAAAAATATACACATTCAGTTAAAAATAAGGAAAAAACATACTTGATAATGGCGAAATAAATAGCCGAAAGCGTTCGAAAATACAGAATATTCGGACAGTTTTTACACAATAAGAAATTATTTGACTAGAAAAGAAAAAATTATACTAACACAAGAAAATGAAATAACACGCCTAACTGCAGTCAATTGCTAGTTGTCTTTAATGAAACTTGTAGGAGAGAGACATTGATACTCAGGTTGCATATATATATATATATATATATATATATATATATATGTGTGTGTGTGTGTGTGTGTGTGTGTGTGTGTGTGTGTGTTAATGGATATCGGCTTGGCTATCCACATCAGGACCTAATAATAATCTACGAGGATAACTCGTAAACAGAGTAATAAATATTGTTATCATGTCAAAGAAGAAAACAGTGATGGACGTTTTGCTGTTGAGCTATGGTTATCTAAAACAATTTTCGTGGCCCATAATACAATGTGTTTAATTATCAACGCCTGCCCAACACGAGCCAGGTTATCAAAGCTTATCACTTTCAGGGCTAACCTTTATTTCGCTGATTAAATAACGTGACTGGAAAGCAGGTATAAGTCAAAGCAATATGCGGATGACAAAAAGAAGACAAAGCCCGAATTTTAAAAAAGGGGACATTACTTAATTTAACTGTTTTTGGCCTTAAGCTGTGAATGTTTTACTCTAAACGTGTTAAGATAGATAGATAGATAGATAGATAGATAGATAGATAGATAGATAGATATGAAAAGGATAAGATCGATAGATAGATAGATATATAATGATATTATATTCTAATCCGTATGGATAATTCCAAAGAGGATATAATCCAGAGAGCTCAATGTAAAAACAGAGCAAACATTAATTATTATTAAGGAAAGGACAAGTGTATATGTTTATAGTTTATCTCCTTAGAAACGAGATTTCGAACTTAATTCATCAAATTGTCTATTCCCACACAAATAAATGGATGACAAATTTTTCCAGGCAGAAATATTATATATTATTATTTTTAATTTATGAACACATTTGCTTGAGGAGTTTCTTAGAAGATAAATTATAACCATGTACCTTTAAAGTTGTTATTTTCTTAATAATAATTAATCTCGACAAAATCCAGCGACGGATATGCAATGGGATTAGTCCTGATCTGGCATCTCGCTTACAGTAACTTTCTCACAGAGGTATCGTTGCTTCTCTCTGTCTTTTCTACAAATATTTTCACGGTAACTGCTCCGACGAGCTACTTTCGCTAGTTCTCAAACTGCATGAATTTAAGCGTGCTACTAGGTTGGCATCTCGGTCCCATCCTTTTACTGTCGAAACCGTTAAATGTAACCGTCTCTTCTACTCCAGTAGATTCACGTCACGCATTTCCCGTCTGTGTAACTCTCTTCCTCTTACTTGCTTCACTGATAGCTATAATCTTCAATAATTCAAATGCAATGTCAGTCGACATTTTCAGATGCCTTGATTTAGTTCCCTGTCCTTCTCTTCATCCTTTCTTCTATCATGCCTCTTTACTCTCTGTAACCAACTCTCTGTAACCCCTTGCGTCCTAGTGGCACTCCCGCTATGCTTGGAGTGAAATGGGTATATATATATATATATATATATATATATATATATATATAAGCATTATATATATGTATATATATATATATAATAAAAAGGCTTAAACACTAATATTCCATGGTCATAATTTATTCCACTGGAATCGTAAATACGATCAATTCATCAGACCTACAAATTCAAAAAAAAAAACAGAAAAACAACTCCGGAAATAAAAACAGAATTTAGAGAGAGGTAAGTATGAGGAGGAGGAGATCAAACCTTAACAGAGAGAATTTTAGGAGGGTGGGGGTGGAAGGGTTTTAGAAAAATGAAAATGAATGTTGTCGGATGCATAAAGATACATTTCGTGGTGACGTACACACACCATATTAGTGGTAAATATACATACATATGCAAAATATATAAATACCCATACATGTATATTTTTAGAATAAAAATTCCAAGAGGAAGAATCCAGGTAGAACTCAATGTCCAGGACAGAGTAAGGATATAATAAAAAGGCTTAACTTTTTATCTACCACTAATATTATATATATATATATATATATATATATATATATATATATATATATATATATATATATATATATATGTAACCAATGGAGGAATTAACAAAAAAATATCTAAGTATATTTATTTCTAGTGGAAAGAAAATTAATTTTCTGTCAGTCATAAAATATGTTAATATTTTGTTGAACGTTTCTCATGAAGATTTGTCGGATATTTTTTCTTTTAAAATTAAAAACTCAGACATACATACACAAAAGAAAGAAAATGCCTTCAATGTTATCTGTTTTTATTTGCTGCTAGTTTTCCTGAAATGATTGGAATTTTCACAGAGAATAAATAAGGAAATATGAATTTTTTTTTTTTTTTTTTGGCAAAAAAGTTCGCCAGATTTAAATACACATTTACCAATTTATTTTTAATATGTAATGCTGTCATTTTCCTTATTTATTTTCTTTCTTGATGCCTCTCACGCCATAAGTCTAAAACATTAGTAGGACCCCTCACCAAAGTTGACGTGTTTTCTTTTCCACTACTTTCGACGCCATTTTGTGACCAATGAGTTATTTCTCGGTGGGAATTCAATATAACCTCGAAAAGAACTTCATTTGCATAATTCATTTTTTATTCTATCGAAAACATACATTGAAAGACATAAAAACGACTGATAAACGCTTATCAGTCTAATTATTCACAGAATAAAAATAAGTATATATATATATATTGTGTATTTAGGCAGCAATCCTTCATTTATGCATGTTTCCTTAAAAACGACAGACAAGGTACTACGGTTAAGCTTTTTATTTAATTTTTCTTGTGTTCGAACAAGAGTTTCTTTTTTTGGACACAGGGTGTGTAGAAACAGTCCAAATGTTCTATAGTTCCGAGCGCTTTCGGCTATACCGTTATCAAGAATTATTTTATTTTTTCAGTTTAATTGAGGTGTGTGCGTTATATGTATTTTTTTAGCGTTATGTAGTGTTTTAATGTTTTAGTGTTACCCTTATGAACAAGGCCACAATATGCTGTGTTCGGAAAATAAAACATCTCTATAGCCGAAAGCGCTCGGAAGTATAGAATATTTGAACAGTTTCTACACACTCTGTCTCCCAAAAAGAAAACACTTGTTCGAACAGAAGAAAAAAATAAAATAAAAAAATCTTAATCGTAGTAGTTTGACTGCCAGTTTTAATGAAATATGCACGCACACACACACACACACACACACACATATATATATATATATATATATATATATATATATATATATATAACATACTTAAAACTTCTCGTTTTCACTCTCGCGTGGTCATGTGTGACTTCACGAGCTGCAGTGCGATTTTCGCTTCCGCGTCTCGTATACACGAGTTTGTCGTTGCTTGGAAAATTTTCATGCAACAAAAACAGACTATCATTAGGGTTTTGTCTGTGTATTGTTTAATATATTGAAATGTAATTTGTCATCTTTGATAATAGCTTATGTAAGCCGAAAGCTTAGATAGGATTAAAAAAAACATGTATCAATACGGTGTTTTTCTTTCATCTTTCAATGATAATGTTATTAAGCTTATCAGGTAATATGAAAGGAATTTACTTAAAATAAATGGACAAAACTTGTCTATATTATTTAATGAAACATGCATCAATGAAAGAATGCTGCCTAAATACACACAATATATATTTATTATATATATATATATATATATATATATATATATATATATATATATATATATGTGTGTGTGTGTGTGTGTGTGTGTGTGTGCGCGCGTCCTCGGGCGCCTGTGTGGGTGTGTGAATGATATACTTGCATGTACGTATGTATATTTGTATTATTATATCGTTTAAACAAAGCATGTACGGTTTCAAATGTGTCATGGAGGATTTAAATACATAACGCTATTTGTGTACGTGTAAATGTTTATATGAAAGAGGAAAATATAGGAATGCTTAGGTATATGAACCTATGTAAGGGGTGATGTGGTCGCAGAAATTGTCTGACTGCCATGACTAGATTCTCCAGCTTGTGTGACATGGTGCAGAGTCCTGTTGACAGACATAAGTTCTTCCAGCAGCCACCCTCTTGACTCTGGTCAGCACTATCTTCTCGAGGAACTGATATAGACCCCCGTGTTGAGTCTGAGGCCCTTAACAAATTCCGGATTTCTTTTCTTATCAGAACGATCACATTGGGTTTTCTGAGACACCGTACATTCGTAATCATCATTAGACTCATCTAACTCTTTCCGAATCTTCTGCACTGTCCTCAGACTGACACCAGATACTCTGAAATATTCGTATTGGAGCCCCGAATGCCAAGCAGTAGAGAATATTGTTTACAAATTTATGGCGTATTGAATTGCGTCATGGTGCTTTTTTTCCTCACAGACCGCTCCCAACTAGGCCTATTATACTGTGCCGTCGACAAAATAATAAAAAAAGTGCATGCGCGAAATTAAAAAAAAAAAATGGCGACAATTTATCCACTGCCCCCTCTATAGAGTGATTTACTAAGCATAGCACAGCTGGGGCTCAAGGCCAAAAATATGAGGCCCCCAATGACGATAGAATTCACTGCTCAGTCATGATTTATATAAAAAGACAAGATTGCCCACAAATACACCGCGTCGAAGTTCGAGATAGATAGATATGAACAAACTATCAGATAGATAGATAGATAGATAGATATGAAAAAACTATCAGATAGATAGATAGATAGATAGATATATGAGATTGAGATAGATAGATAGATAGATAGATAGATAATGATATATGAATAATGAATAGAAATAGATATATAGATGAACAAACTATCAGAAGAGATAAATAGATATGAACAAACTAGATGATAGATAGATAGATGAATGAATATGAACTAACTGAGATAGATAGATAGATGATAGATAGAAACTGAATGGATAGATAGATGAATAGATAGATTCGGATGGATGAATAATGAACTGATTGAGATAGATAGATAGATAGATAGATAGATAGATAGATAGATATATGAACAAACTAACAAATAGATATATATGAACAAACTATCAGATAGATAAATAGATATGAACAAACTGTCAGATAGATAGACAGATAGATATATATGAACAAACTATGAGATAGATATGAACAAACTGAACAAACAGGGAGATAGATAGATATGGAAAAGCGATAGATAGATAGATAGATAGATAGATAGATAGATAGATAGATAGATATAAACAAACTGTCAGATAGATAGATATAAACAAACTGTCAGATAGATAGATAGATAGATAGATAGATAGATAGATAGAAAAAATCTGTCAGATATATTTTTATCAGCGCCTGTGAATTGAAGTGAAAACTAGAGACAGGCGAACAGCGAAGAGTTAGACGTCTAAAATAATCAGGCCATATGCAATGAACATCTACTTAGTAGGGCTTCTATTTCTTTTTGATCTTTTCACCCCAAGCAAAGAAGAAAAGCCACTAACATTGGGGGTGGGTAATAAGTGTGAAAGAATATGAGAAGAAGAAAAACATTATTAAGGTGCGAGAACAACACAAAAACAGGAATTAAAAAGACAGAAGATAACGATTGACACTGGATTGAAATTTTTGCAGATCAAACTTGACTGGAACGCAAAAAGTCGTAAGATAGTTCCAGATGTGAGAGGTGCAAGAAAGTTAAACTGTTATCATAGAACTTGCGATTACATCTAGCCATTTAAGCTGTAAACTGTGAGACCTTGCCGGGCAATCTACTACCATAGTAAAATACTATATGAGAGTCGCTAATAAAGGCAAAATAAGTATAAAAGCTTCAATGAGTTCAGTCAAGAATGGCAAGCAGCAGCAGCACTTATCAAAAGTAAGGTTAGGTTTAAGACTCCAAGTCAGATAAAGGGCCATAGGATACGATTCATACACTCTAAGACCGGGGCAATTCCAGGTGGTGTGATGGTTGGCAAGCTTGTCTCCGAGATTAATTGTGACTGAATAGCGAGTTCGATTCTTACTGGGTGCTCAATAATTCGGACCTTGTGCCCCATCGAAGCTACGCTTAGAAAATCACCGTACACTCTATGACTGATCGATATGATGAAAATGAAATCGTCTAATTTATATGGTGACAAATATACAGGCACTCGGACAAATATGAAAACAGCGTGGCCGCGTGTCAGCTTGATATTGAGATGGACATAGAAAGACAAAGGTTGACAGATTTATTGATAAACATACCGACAGCTAGATGATTTGTCTTGTGTATTAATCGAGAACAATTCAGGCACGGTATAATATTGAATCAGTCGCTTGTTTTCTCTCTTTTCCATTTGAAACTCCGCCAACAAACACAGACACCTCCCACGCTATGTCTATCTATCTCTCTCACACACACACAGACACACACTCTCTCTTTCTTAATAGTGTTTCGAGACAACTTTACGATGCGATGCCAAAATACCTTGTGTTTTCTATATGAACATCGAAACTAGTAAGTGATCCGATACACCTCGCCATTCTGCCCTCAATTATATTATATTCTGACTCTTAACATTAACAGCCATATATAACAAAACACGTCGACATGTTATGAAGTATCTCAACTGGTAATAGGATTTTCCGTACGCAAAACGGAATCTAACAACAATAACACTGTACGCCTTGCACATCCAGGTTTTACTGTTCCATCTTCTTATGTTATAATATTAAATGTTATTTCTTTTAACCAATTCACCCTAAACATGACAATAACGCCACCAATACGCAAGGGAGATAAACAGAATAAGACTTTAGAAGTAACCGGACACCCAATCCTAAACAAGAAACAAGTGATAAACTTCTACTCTTGTTTAATAGACGGAAAAGGAATTTAAACTATATTTTCTACGATTTCTCTTGTTGGTAGTAAAATATATCGCTACATCTATATTCCTTATAATATAATATTAAGTGTTGTAACCTAAAAAGGGTTATTGTTGTAGACCCAGAATAGGGTTCCTCTCCGCCCGAAGGCAGAGAGTTCGACTGTTTAGCTGGAACAGGTCAACTCTAGACAGCGATATTTAGTTACCCCCCTCCACGAGGGTTACATATAACTCAAGGCTGTTTTAACGTGGGATCTCCGAAAGGCCAAAAAATAATCCCTCTTTGAAATCGGGGGTTCAGGGTAGTAACGTGAGACTCTGCCTTCGGTGGAGACTCGTCCGACCGAAGGCAGAGAGTTCGGCTGTTTAACGAACCCGTAGGCTCGGCCAAAAAGGATCCCTCTTTGAAACCGCATAAAGGATTCAGGGGTTGTCAACCCCCCGAACGAGATACTGCTTCGGCGGAGCCTCGTCCAATCCTCTCCCCGAAGGCAGAGAGTTCGACTGTTTAGCTGGAACAGGTCAACTGTAGACAGCGATATTTAGTTACCCCAGCTCCACGAGGGTTACATGTAACTCAAGGCTGTTTTAACGTGGTATTTCCGAGCCCGTAGGCTCGGCCAAAAAGGATCCCTCTTTGAAACCGCATAAAAGGATTCAAGGGTAGTCAACCTCCCCGAACGAGAATCTGCACTTCGGCGGAGCTTCGTCCGAAGGCAGAGAGTTCGACTTTTTAGCTGGAACAGGTCAACTGTAGACAGCGATATTTAGTTACACCCCCCGACGAGGGTTACATGTATCTCAAGGCCGTTTTAACGTGGTATCTCCGCTCCGAGCCCGTAGGCTCGGCCAAAAAGGATCCCTCTTTGAAACCGCATAAACGGATTCAGGGGCAGTCAACCTCCCCGATCGAGACTCTGCCCTTCGGCGGAGCCTCGTCCGGGTTCTTCTCCGACCGAAGGAAGAGAGTTCGGCTGTTTAGCTGGAACAGGTCAACTATAGACAGCGATATTTAGTTACCCCCCCACCACCACGAGGCTTACATGTAGCACAAGGCCGGTTTAACGTGGGATCTCCGAGCCCGTAGGCTTGGCTAAAAATAATCCCTCTTTGAACCCGCATCAACGGATTCAGGGGTAGTCAACCACCCCGAACGGGACTCTGCCCTTCGGCGGAGCCTCGACCTGGTTCCTCTCAGCCCGAAGGCAGAGAGTTCGACTGTTTAGCTGGAACATGTCAACTGTAGACAGTTCTCTTGAGAGGCATAACCTCCCCGTATATATAGTAATAGGACGAGTCCATTTAGTCCATAAAGGTAGGTCACATAACAGTTACTGAATGAGGAATAACCAAAACGGAGGTTAGAAATGAAATGTTAATCTTTATAACGTCAATACAAGTGAAATAGTTAAACCACTGCTAGTGGTGGACTACTTAAACAGCATATTACAATATTTACCTCCCCACGTGGTAAGTTGCGGCAGAAGTCCAAATTTAATTTGGGGATATCCGAGTCCGTGGGCTTGGGCAAAAATTGCCCGTAGACACCGCACTCGTTGGACAGGTATCTGTCTACCTACCCAGACGAGACTGCGCTTAGGCATAGCCTCGTCCGGATTCCTCTCTTCCCGAAGGCAGAGAGTTCGACACGGCAAGAGCTTCCCACGCTGACAGCTCATGCTGCCAGCTTAGACAGCATATTATGATATTTACCTGCCTCCCCACGAGGAAGGATGTGGCACAAGGCCAAATTTTATTTGCGGATATCCGAGCCCGTGTGCTCGGGCAAAAATTGCCTCTAGACCCCGTATACGTGGGATCGGGTATCTGTCTACCTACCCAGACGAGACAGCCCTTCGGCATAACCTCGTCCGGGTTCCTCCGAAGTTAGACACAGCAAGAGCTTCCCACGCTGACAACCCACGCTGCCAGCATAGACAGCCTATTACCTCCACTTACAAAAGTGTACAACGTATTTATGAGGATTGGGATATAGCCATTAGTGTTCATAGGTACGGTTTATGAAATTGAGTATAATATTTTTTTCGATGATTGTCTTCTTAGTACACTATCACAATAAATTACTGCGAATGTTGTCCTTTTAATATTAAATTTTCGATGATTGTCTTCTTGGTAAGCCATCAATATATACTACACTTATTTCTTTTTTTTCTTGTAATAATATTATATTAATTGTTATGAAAATTTTCATAATATTCATCTTGGTACATAACTAAAATACACTGTTACGGTTGCATTTCTTATTTTATTTAATATTAAAAGTTAGAATATTTTCGTTAATTAATTTATTGGTATATCATTACAATAGTGTTGTAGAGTACGAAAAGTTATTCTTCCTCCGTATGAGTTTGAATCCCTCGTCGCCAAGTTGTTATAGAGTAGTTTCACAGTGGAGGCTTGTATTTTACTAAGTCGGTCCTAAATTAGGTTCGACGTACAAAACGTTAGGAACTTGAAATAATAGGTAATGACGCAGAGATCTACTTGTGGTGGCTGATACTTTAATATCCGACTAACGGTCGTTCGACATCGACTGACTGACCAACTCACTCAGCGACTATTACTACTACTACTACTTATTATAGGTGGGAGAGTCTATTAACAATAGAATAGCTGTGTTCCACTATAACAAATAGACTACTCCTATTGTTTTGATATTAAATTTTCGATGATTGTCTTCTCGGTACACTAGCAAAATATACAGCTGTTGACTTTGCGTTTTGTTATAATAATTTTCGATGTTTGTCAGCAACTAGATGGGTAACCACTTGCGAATACGTCTTGTTGAAAGCAATGATTTGCAGGTTGTGTAATGGTTAAAAGCTCGGAATCAGAAATCGGTGTGCATAGTACCGATTTCGAGTCATGTTTTTTATATTCACTGACACGTAAATAACCTTTGGAAATGTTTGAATCTACTTCTTCGTCCTCCAGTCATTGGTTTTAGTAGAACTTTGATCACTAAGGTATAATGAACAATCTGCAAATGACTGATAAGCAATAAAAAAGTCCATCAATCAATCTTACATTTTGAATACGGGGAAAACAAGTTTGATTCGATTCCGTGGATGTAGCATGATGTATCCTAGCTCTAAATGCCTAACTATTTTTTAAGCATTTCCCTCCAAAAAAGGGGTTACTGGGCATGAAAGAATATGATGCAATGTAATAACCTGTCATCCCCATGAGTAACTATACTATAGGTAGTAACTTCCTACAAGTCTCGGAAAGTCTACGGACTACGAATCCTAGCCGAAATCTTTTCGACTAAACAGTCGAACTCTCTGACTTCGCGCAGAGAGGAAGCCGGACGAGGCTCCGCCGAGGGGCAGAGTCTCGTTCGGGGAGGTTGACTGACCCTGAACTCGTTTATACGGGTTCGAAAGGGAATATTTTTGGCCGAGCCTACGGGTTCCGAGAACCTACTTTAAACCCGGCCTCTTGGTGGGGTGCTAAATATAGTCTACCAGAAATCTTTTCGGCTAGACGGTCAAACTCTTTGCTTCTGAGCTGAGAGAAACCCAGACGAGGCTCTGTCGATGGGCAGAGTCTCGTTCGATGAGGTTGACCAACCCGATCCCGTTTATGGGGGTTCTACGGGGATTTTTTGGCCGAGCCTATGAGCTCGGATAACCCACGTTAAACTCGGCCTTGTGCCACATCTACCCTCGTAGATGAGGGCTAGTAAATACCGTCTAGCTGAGATCTTTTCAGCTATACGGCTGAACTCTCTGCCTTCGGGCAGAGAGGAACCCAGACGAAGCTTTCCCGAAGGCCAGAGTCTGGTCTGGGGTGGTAGACCGATTCGACCCCATTTTTTACGGGGTCTACGAGGAATTTTTGCCCGAGCCTACGGGCTCGGATACCCCACGTTAAATTCGGCGTTGTGCCACATCCGACCGCGTGGATCGGTTGGCAAATATTCTTGATGGGATCTGTTACTCGGCTCTTAGCTGTTGTCGAACTCTTCGGGGATCGAGGAACTCTGACGAGGCTATGCCGAAAGGCAGAGTTTCGTCCAGGGAGATAGACAGACCCGCGCCCGTTTATGCGGGGTTTACGGGCAATTTTTGGCCTCGCCTACGGGGTCATATTGCCCTACATTAAATTCGGCTTTGTGCCACATCTTATCCCGTGGAGAGGTTGGCAAATATTACTAACTGGGATCTGTTGAGTACGACTCAGACTTACGCGAGAACTATCGACCTTCCTATAGTAGCACTCACTACTGGATTGACTTGTGACGACGTTGTGCATAACTGTTACTTTTAATTCTTATTGTACTGTTTTTTTACAATAAAACTTTACTTATTTTATCCACATTCCTTTTCAAGTAGATATTCCGATTAGCAAGGAATATAACAGAATATGAGAAGAAAAAGCATTATTGAAGAGAAAAGACAATAAAAGAATAGGAATTACGAAGACAGAAGATAATAAATGAC